GGAGATTAAGGAAAATCAACACAGCTCGATCTGGGTCTTTATTTATCCACAGTGGGAATGGCAGAAGTGTGTGCCGCAGGTGAAGGTGTCAGGTCTCAGTGTTTTGCTGAGAACACTGAAAGTGAAACATTCTCAGAGCTGTCTGCTGCAGTTAGCAGCGGGGAGCTCCAAGCACACCTGTGGATGCGCCCCTGAGCTCCAGGTCAACTTGTTTGCAGTCTGCCTCTGGCATTTCACCTTCCTGGGACTGGCTTTGCTTTAGCCTCAAGGGATTCGCCAACCTCGGCCCAGCCGCTCCCCTCACGGAGCACAAGAAGGTCCGAGGGACAGAGATGGAAGGCCGAGGCACATGGTGCCCGGGAGCAGCCCTTTCTAGCCCTGAGCTAAGAAGTGTCAGGAAGACTCCTGGATCACGAGCTCTAGGAGCATCGTGGTGCGTGGGAACTCAGCCAGGGGCCACAGGACCTGATGGCGGGCCGCGCAAAGAGCGTTTGTGGTCGTGGCTGCCTCACGCATGCACCTGTACGGACACGTGGAGGAGGAGGGTGAGCAGCAGCTCAGGCCTGTGGTTTCATACGTGCGGTCACAGGGCCGGGGCTGAGGCCATTTGAAGATGCACACATGGTAGTCAGGCACAGTGGTACTCGCCTGTAACCCCAGCACTCTGGGAGGCTGAGGCAGGAGGGTTGAGAGTTCAAACCTACCCCAGGAATTTAGCGACTTAGAGACTGTCTTAAAGTAAAAGATAAAAAAGGGCTGGGGCTTGGAGATCAGTGTGGAGGGGCTGGGTTCCACCCCCATACACATCTATCAGGTCAGTCCTAGGGGCACTGGCTGGTCAAGGTGGCTTAGATCTCGGGGTGTGAGAATGGGGGTGAAGGGTAGAGGTGGGGTGGGGTGCGTCATCAGAGGTACCTTCCTCTTGGGTTCAGATATGACCATGGTGACGCCATGGGCTGCTTCCCACCAATGAGGACTGTACCTGAGGCCTCGCACTCTTTTTTAACTGAGGGGCTGTCACTGTGCAGTAGCCTGCGTAAGTGTCCTCCACAAGCCAGGGCTGCTGCTGTGAGGTGGCGGAACCTTTAAGGGGCGGGGCCTAGTGGGCAGAAGTGAGGTCATGGGGCGTGGTCTGGAAGGAGATTGGATGGCCTACCAAACGGTGACCCTTTCTCCTGTGTAAGCGTATTAGCTCAGGTGTTTATTACAGTACCATAATGACCCGGATACTGCGGAGGTCTGCAACTTTTCTAGAAGAGGGCCGGAAAATTCCACTACCTGGATGCTGGGGTGCCCGGGGAAGTGGCTAGAAAACCATAGCACAGGAGGTTGCGGGAGGGAAGGAGTAATTACAGCTCTCTCCACCCTGCCACGTCTGCGGGTCGTGTCTGCAGCACCTCCTTTTCTTTTCTTCTCTTTCTTCTTCCTTCCCCCCCCCCTTTTATTATCTGAGATCAAAGCCTGTGTAGCCCACAGCTCTGATTTGCACAGCCCCAGCATGAGATGCACACCCAATGAAGCCTTGCTGATGTTGGTAAAGACTCGCTCCTCTCGTGTCCTATGCCTGTACACGTGGGTTCGCCGGAGAGGGGCTCTTGTGCCCCGTGTACTAGGGCTAACTTCTCTCTGGTGACCCCTACTCCCTAAGACTGTGACTGGACTTGGAGCAGGGTCCCCAGAGATTCCGTTACAGCGAGATTGTAAGGGGACCCCTACGCCAATGTGATCCTGGGGACACAGGGCCAGGGTGTGCGTGGGTGGGACGCAGAAGGAGCAGGGCTCCCATCTCGTTCACCCAGCCCAGATCCCTCCGCTTCCCATCACAAGCCCCAGCCTCAGAGCCAGGGTGGACCTCCGAGAAGACCCCAGCTCCAAGAAGGCTCAGTGCGGTCGGGAGGTGGCGCTGTGTGTCACGTCCTTGTGAACATGGCCAGCTGGAGCGACAGCGGTCTGCATGAGGTCTCCCAGCCCTGACCTTGATCAGAGAGATTGGGCCTTGCCTTCATCTGCTGCGGAAAAGCCTGTTATTTGTTGTCTCCTGTCCAGTTTCTTAGTTTTTAAAATCAGACTAAGGTGGAGAGTGGTGTGAGATGAGCTCTCACTTGCTTCTCCAAGTCCCTAAATAGTTACTTGTTTTAAATTGAGAGCCCTTGGCGTGACAGAGCTGCCTTGGCTTGCAGATTTTTTTGGGAATCAAACTCAGGACCTTGGGCTTGCCAGGCAGGTGCTTTGCCACTGAGCTATATCCCCAGCCCTCTGCGTTGGCATCTAAGCTCGTCATTTACAGAGCAATCTTCTCCCAAGACGAGGGAGAGGCTCCCACCCCAACACTATCCTCTGCCAGGTCCTGTCATGAGCTGGCCCACACTGAAGGCATGACTGGGCTGCCTGGACCCAGAAGGGTGCCCACACTGAGGTTCCAGGTCCTGCTTCCTGCCAGGGGTCCTGGCAAAGCTATATTAAAAAGCAAAAGAAGCTCTTGCTGTGCCTCGGTTTCCCCATATGTCAAGTGAGACCAGTGCTTGCCGGGGAAGGTTGTTGTAGGGAGGAAATGGCAAAAGCTGTGATTCAGTTGGAGGTGAATTCATCTAGAATGTCCCTGAAAGGCTCAGCTTGTGGGAGGTGGTTAGACATGGAGGTGCTACCCTCATCCACAAGTTTACCATGGACAGGTTTGCAGCTGCCTGGCTGTTGGCAGCGGCTTGGCAGTGTCCACTCTTGTCACCTCTGCTTTCTCTGTTATCAGTGTGTGGTCCCTAGTCCTGCAGCATCCTCCGGGAGCTGGCAAGAAGGCCCCATCAGCCTCTGTACCTCACAAAGGCTTCACACACAACAGCCAGAGGCGCTTGGCTGGGGCCTGGGATCTCAGTGCTGAAGGCCTGTTCTGGCAGGGAATGGGTGTACCTAGCCTGGAAGGGCTGGCAGAGGGATACAGATGCCTGGGCAGGTGACGTGTCGGATCCCCTCCCCTGACTGCCGGTCTCCAGGACAGGAGACTGTACCTTCCCCAGCCCGACAGGGTGCCCGAATTTCACTTTGTGTGTCACCATCTGGCCTGGTAAGGGATGGGCTAGAGGGGAGGGCAGACTGGAGCCGAGATGGGTGTGTGGGAGGTGGGGACGGTGGATGGGTTTGAGTCCCTGCCTGGGACTTCTGAGCTTTATGGGATGGGGACAGCCCCTGCACCTTTCCACCCTCCCATTTCTCCCTGTTTAATGGGCTCATGGCCTTTCTCAAAGAGGCTGCTGGGAAACTGAATGAGACAGCACACACACAGTCCCCACCAGTGCTGCACAGTAGGATTTATTGTTACAGTGTTAAACTGCCATGGGGGAGGCTCTGGGGCCACTGCTGCCAGCATGGACTCTGCTCACAGACAGCTTACTTCTGGGGTGGCCCCAGGGGTCAGGGCTGCAGCTGTCCCCTCACCAGCAGGTAGCAAGCAGTGCTAGGTCCAGGGGTCTCCATCTCCCCAGGGTTCCTTTTCCTCACCCCTCCTGGGGAAGGGCCTGCTGGAGCCCAGAACGTGAAGTGACAGTCCAGAGCACATGCCAGCTTTGTGGGAAGGGGCTGGAGCACTCTTCTCCCCAGGTAACCCGACCAGGGCTGGGGAGGGTGCTGAGGGCCCCTGAAGTGTGTGCCGAACCCCAAGCCTGCTGGGTGAGTTGATCCTGTTTGAGGCCCCTCCCAACTCCTGAACTTCATCTAGTCCTGGGTCCCATGTGGGGCCCCCTCCTGCCACAGCTGCACTGACAGACAGATGTGTAGAGGGCTGGCCCTGCTCAGCGCTGGCACAGGGCCTCTCAGAGGCGTCAGGTCAGAAGAGTAGCCTGTGACGCTGTGCGTCCGGGTTCCCTCCTTGGGACAGTGCTCCCTTTCCAGGGCACCGCAAGTGGCTTCTAGAGCGGCACATCTGAAGGTCCTGGGCCTGGAGGCCTTGCAGTCCTCTAGGGACAACCACCTGAGCCCAGATAGGCCCTAGAAGGCCACTGCCTGTGTCACTGCGCTGCCAGCCTTTGTCCACCAGCTCCTGAGAGCCCGAGTCTCTCTCCAGCCCCTGCTCCCCCTGCCCGCTGTGGAGCAGAGCTACGTGAGCCTTAACCAAGCTCACTCAATCTTCACTTACCAAGCAGCCTGGCCTGGGGCTGCACCGAGCTTCAAACACTCCCTGGCTGCCAGGAACAGGCAGCCCCATGCCCCAGAGGGTGCCACGACGCCATCTCTGGGGCTCCAGATGCATCTGAGGTCACCTGCTGGCCTCCTGCTTCGATGCTGTGATCAATGTCACATTCCCCAGTGACCCCCTACCCAGGGGTCCGCATGCCCATCTTGTCCCCAACAGGCCCAAGTCCTGGCCAGATGCCAGCATCATTTCTGCCAACATGGGCGAGGGTGGGTCTCACGGCCTCAGCCCTGTGGTCAGCCTCACATGGGAGACAGACTCTCTGCAGTCTTCCTTTGGGTCCTGGGCAGCTGGCCTCAGAGGACGTAGAGCATCGCAGCTCTGACCAGGGGCCCACCTGGGGACCTGTGTGTGTGCAGACTCTGGATCCTGTCCTTCCGATTGTCACTCGACAAAGACAGGTGGCCGGCCAGCTCGGGCTTGGACACGGGCCTGGCCCTCAGGGCTGTGCTTCTGAGAGCCCCTCCTCCCATGGGGCCATACTGAGGCTCGGGAGCGCCTGGGCGTCACCCTTGCCTCTTCCTCTCCTTGCAGGCCAAGGCTGGTTCTGTGCTGTGCTGGGAAGTGCCACAACCCTGTCCCCCCCCCCCCCCCCCCCCCCCCCCCCCCCCGCCCCAGGATAAGCAGTCCAAAGTAGGCTACAGA